TGTACAGACCTGACACTGCTGACAGAAGAGATGGTGGAGGTGCCCAGGGTGATTCGGTGCAGCCCGCTCTCCTCCAGCAGAGAGGCGTTGTTGTAGGGATTCGGACCCTGGCCAGAAAGACACCACGGCTCCGGGTTAGTGCATCGTCAGTTTATAACACACTTCCTGTGATCTGTGCACGGGACGTCCCCAGGCGGTCTCACACTACACCTGTGCAAATTCCCCGTCACGCAAGAGCACCGGGAATTTCATTTCTAGAGTCTGTTCATGAAACGTCCATCCACCCATTTTCCTAACCACTTTGTCCAATTCGGGGCCACGGGGGAGAAAGAGTCTATCCCAGCAAGCAACTGGAGCAAGACAGGACACCCTGGACAGCACACTAGTCCATCACAGGGCTCACACACTCACACCAGGGCCAGTTTTCCCAGGAGCCAATTAACCCACCAGCATGTCTTTTAGGACTGTGGGAGGAAACCCACACAAACACAGGGAGAACATACAGACTCCACACAGGCTGCACCACAGGTCTGGAATTGAACCCAGAGCCCCAGTGCTGCCAGGCAGCAGGATACAGAGTGTTCATTAATTCAGGAATGTGCGCTGGGTAGGGCTGAGAACAGGACAGGACAGGTACCAGCTCTCATCACAGTCTGAAACGCTAATCGTGCGCACAGCTCAGGGGTGAAATCCAACGTACAGAAGAATCTGGAACCGAGTTCTTTGAGTAGCCTGTATGAACTACCACCGTGCAAAACACAGGTCATCCCACGGGGAATGGCCAGTTATACACTGAGTAACACTGAGATGTGCAGAATAGTTAGTGGCGATACAGTCACAGGGTATTACAGTGATCTGGGGCGCTCGAGCCGTCTCCTCTGCTGGGGGCTTCTTGCCAAGACAGGCCAGTTTCCAGGCCTCCTGCACCTCTGAGTTCAGCAGGCAGAACACCAGCAGCACTGCAAGTCCCTGAAACAGACCAATACACGCACAGCACAGTCACTATAGAGTAATACAGACAAGCACACACAGCACAGTCACT